CAACTTTTCAATTAGGCCCTTTACGTCGAGCAATATTCCTGCAGTTCCAATCTTTGTCTTCGTCACGTCAGTACTTTCAGGTACAATCGAGCATGGTCTTTCTACGACGATTCCAAACAGCGTCATATGAATTTTGCTCAAAAGGTGTTTTATCAGGGTTACAACATTCCAGGCCACCCTAAAGCTTTCAAACGTTTAATGGTAAATGTGGACGACATTTTCCAAACGACGAAAATGATGTCCAATAAAGTTCCCTAATGTAACATATACCATATGTTCCCTTGTGTTTGAGGTGATCAATTGACTTGCCCTTCTATGTGTTTGTGATGTTGCCACCAGTGGGGCAGAAGTGTCTTACCTTTTCGCGAACACGTGGTAGCATCACTGTTTGATAGTGATTCATTAACACAGGCTGATGAAATAGTCGGAATCGTACAAAGGACTCTGCTTTCAGAAGACAGTTCTTATGATTGGGAAATGGGATTGGTTACTTAAATGATACAAGCCTACGACTTGTGCTCCTAGATTTACCACAGTGATACACGCCTATGACCTATGCTTCTGGATTTCATCACAGTGATACACGCCTACGACCTATGCTTCTGGATTTCATCACAGTGATACACGCCTACGACCTATGCTTCTGGATTTCTTCACAGTGATACACGCCTACGACCTATGCTTCTGGATTTCATCACAGTGATACACGCCTACGACCTATGCTTCTGGATTTCATCACAGTGATACACGCCTACGACCTATGCTTATGGATTTCATCACAGTGATACACGCCTACGACCTTTGCTTCTGGATTTCATAAGAGTGATACACGCCTACGACCTATGCTTATGGATTTCATCACAGTGATACACGCCTACGACCTATGCTTCTGGATTTCATCACAGTGATACACGCCAGTGAGTTGTGCTCGTGGGTTTCATCAGAGAAATACATTCCGACGGCATGTGTATTGGGGTTTCGCCACAATCATACACGCCCACGACCTATGCTTCAAGGTTTTATCATAGGATACAAATCTACGACCTGGCCCGCTTTGCTGACTCACAATACAGCAATTGTGCCCTTACAGTAGAACATCATGATGAATAGCTACCGTACATTCTTTTACGTATCAATACGTTAAATCAAGATATTTGAATTTAATACACAGCCTTACTTTCTCTTAAAAACAATGAAAGAAATCATGCCTATATTTGTTATTGTAAACACTATATGCGAGTTGGTGCAACTGTCGTGTATATTACTGCTATTTTTATGGTTATAAGAAATACAATTATGAAAAAAACTGGTTCGTAGCAGCGTCTGATATATATGCACGTACTACCGGCATTGATCCGTATAAAAACATCGAGGTCGTAAATGCAGGGCATTGCCCTAGGTATTCCCGTAGGAAATAATCTTATAAATATAACTTCTAAAGTATTGGAGAAGTAATCAAAATGAATTGATATTATACGAATTAAATCCTGCATTTGAACTCCAAATACCGCTTTTCCACTCGTAGAATTGATGTAATATAAGCTAACAAGCCAGAGGGGACGTGGGTTTACTGATCTGTAAGTATTTGAAAAAGCTGCGTTTCAAGAGGTTTTGATTACCTACAAATATACTCATTTCAGAGACGTCATTCGGCTACAGTTCTTCTTCGGAGGGTCGTCCTGTTAATCACAGTTTATCTGTTACGATGTGTGTGACCTTCTAGGGAGATCAGTGCGGAGGGTCGTCCTGTTAATCATGCGAGGGCTGGTCAAAATGTTCTAACTCTGACTTACTTTTAACTAAGGGCAATCAGTGAACTAGTCAACGTAGTACATTGTTTGAGTAGTTCATTGCAAGTGTATTCTGTCTTTTGACGCCGTTTTGTATATTAGTGGCAGCCAGTTGAACGTGATAGGGGCCCAAATGGACACAGACATGGAAAATAACTAATATCGAGGAGTCATCACGTTTTTAGCTTTAGAGAAAGTACTCCCCAAGCCATGATGATGACCCTAGGTCTTGACGTCCCTCAACTTCCATCAATGGAGATTCAATTAAGGAGATAGAAAACCTTACACTGTCAGACAGACGTATTACCATTGTTGAATTTGAGGAAGACACAGATCCATCAATGGAGATTCAATTAAGGAGATAGAAAACCTTACACTGTCAGACAGACGTATTACCATTGTTGAATTTGAGGAAGACATGGATCCATTGAAACTAATATTCATGAACATATACAGATGAATAAGATATCTGCTTGTTGGATGCCAAAAATTACCGGCGCCTACTATGTTGATTTGCTTCATCGCCTGAGAGATTCTATCAAAAACATGCGACTAGGAATGCTGACTACTGGAGCTCTACTACTTCATGACAATGCCTCTTCTCACACCTCTCGACTTGCAAAGGCTGCTGTGCGATAATGTTGGTTCAAAGAGATTCCTCAACCTTCATACTCGCCAGACCTGGCACCAAGTGATTTCCACCTGTTTCCTGAACTAAAAGAACACCTTCGTGGAAAGCGCTGTGACAACAACGATGACCTCAAAGCTGCCGTGAATGGGTTTTCATGGTGGCTTCAGAAAACTTCTTCCTCACTAGAATTGAAAAGCTTCACCATCGATATGAGAAGTGTAATGAAAAGCAGGGAGATTATGGTCAAAAATAAAAATAAATGTTTGTTAGGCTTTTCATGTTTGTTGTTCGTATCTTGAAGAGATTTGCCAGGACATCAGCAGTATTTCTTTTGTGTCAACTCAAAAAATATGAATCATTTACTCACCTTAGTTTCTGCCTCGTAATAGCTGCACGATGTGTAATACTACGAATGCCTCCCTAATAACAGCAGTGCTATTTGTATTACTACGAATGCAACCCTTATAACAGCTGTGCTGTGTGTATTACTACGAATGCCTCCCTTATAACAGCTGTGCTATTTGTATTACTACGAATGCCTCCCTTATAACAGCTGTGCTGTGTGTATAACTACGAATGCCTCCCTTATAACAGCTGTGCTATTTGTATTACTACGAATGCCTCCCTTATAACAGCTGTGCTATTTGTATTACTACGAATGCCTCCCTTATAACAGCTGTGCTATTTGTATTACTACGAATGCCTCCCTTATAACAGCTGTGCTGTGTTTATTACTACGAATGCCTCCCTTATAACAGCCGTGCTATTTGTATTACTACGAATGCCTCCCTTATAACAGTTGTGCTGTGTGTATTACTACGAATGCCTCCCTTATAACAGCTGTGCTGTGTTTATTACTACGAATGCCTCCCTTATAACAGCTGTGCTATTTGTATTACTACGAATGCCTCCCTTATAACAGCTGTGCTGTGTTTATTACTACGAATGCCTCCCTTATAACAGCAGTGCTATTTGTATTACTACGAATGCCTCCCTTATAACAGTTGTGCTGTGTGTATTACTACGAATGCCTCCCTTATAACAGCTGTGCTGTGTGTATAACTACGAATGCCTCCCTTATAACAGCTGTGCTGTGTTTATTACTACGAATGCCTCCCTTTTAACAGCTGTTTTACATTTGCCTGAAAATAGATTAGTTAAGAAATGTTATAGATTATTATTACTTGATGTTAATAATGGTAAGATCAACTGGGTCTCTAAAATCAAACACATTCTCTCTTCGTTTGGTTTTGGCTACATATGGGACGCAATTTAGTAATAATAGTAGAAGTTTTATTTCGGAATGTAAACCGTTTAAAAGCCTCATCTGAGCAAGATTGGCATGCAGCTGTTTCATCTAGCACTAAATTCCAAAGTTACTCTCTTTACAAAATTTAATTTGGCTTAGAAAGCTATATCAATGTAGTAAATGTTTCAAAATTTAGAGCTGCACTTGCTCAGTTGAGATGCTCCTCCCATCGGCTGCGAATTGAGACCGGTCGATATATTAAGGAAATTAGAGAACAGAGACTGTGTTTGATTTGTAACCCGAATTTTATTGAGGACGAATATCATTTTATGCTTATATGCAATGCTTATCATGCTTATAGTGATTTAAGAGCTGAATACATTCCTCCTAAATATTTTACAACCCCTTCTAAAAATAAATTTAATGCTCTTATGTCATCCACTAACTTTAAAATCATACGAAATCTAGCAGTCTACGTTTACAAAGCTTTTCGACTTCGTTCATTGCATATACAGTCTAAATATTTATTTGTATATATGCATGTGCATGTGTATGAATGTGTATGGATATGGATATATATGTAAAATAGTGGTAATTCTTTTTTCTCCCTCTCTCTGTAAATAGTTCTGTGTAATAGGCCTACGGCCTAACACTTTTGTGAATAAACAATATCAATAAACAATATCAACAGATGTGATATTTGTATTACTACGAATGCCTCCCTTATAATGTCCCCAATGTCAGCCAGAAGGCACCCGGCAGGGGTGTAATACGGGTCTGGTTATTACACCCCCTGTGATATGACCGCCTCCATGTTGGCTCGATCTCACATGCAAAATACCTCATATGATTGATTCGTATACGATAATACCTATCATTTCCTCGTAGCGCCTGTATTGCATGTATATATTAGGAGTGAGTGAGTGAGTATGATTTTACGCCGCTTTTAGCAATATTCCAGAAATATCACGGCGGGGGACTCCTGTAATGGGGGTTCACACATTGTACCCATGTCGGGAATCGAACCCAGGTCTTCGGCGTGACGAGCGAACGCTTTAACCACGAGGCTACCCGACTGCCCCTTATATATCAGGAAAGTCAAATACATAACACATAATGACACGAGTGCATATGTACTCAAGTAGAAGGGCTTAGACTAAGGACAAATTTCAAAACGAAAATGTATAAGAATTTTCTTGAGACGGAGTTATCTCGTGTTATTTAGTACGCATTTCGCATGGAGAATGACACATTACTAATTGCAGAAACTCGTTTTGTGCTTGGTGGCGAGATTTATTGAACATACAGAAAATGAAAACATAATTCATACTTTCAGTTTACCTGTCCTTCATTTTATTAATGATAAGGCATGACGGCGCCCTCATAACCGACCTTACAACAGGGTCAGCATCACCATGCAACTGCACGAACAGATACACAGCTGGTACAAGTCTCCATCAAACATCACAATGATCACGTACCGATGAATTGCAATGAGGAAATGAATTACATATATGCATAACGAGTGTTAGCAGACACTGGTATCAGCGAAAGTCGGTGGTGGCGGGGGCGGTGTCGCTGGTGGTATGGGTGGTGGGGGTCGGGATAGCTGAGGCCACAGCCACAAAGAACCAGAATGACATCCACAATTAAATATTTGGGCAGTTTGTGATACCATTTACCTAATTTTTTACGAGGCTCATTAACAATTTGAAAAACAAACTAAAAATGCAAAGATTAATTTATTTATCGCTTTTGAAAATAATGACATTTTATGCAATATATTCTTATATAATCTGAACAGCGGGAGCTGTGATGCTATTCATGAACATATGTTCCAGGATGTAAACAGTTGTCATAGCACAGCCAACCTTCCGACACGAGAATGAATACAATAACTTTTATACGAATGTCAGCCTGTTAGTATACTATTGGACTCTATGAAGTCTTATTCCAATATATGTGGGTCGGTCTGGAGGTACGTGATGACAGGACAGATTATTGAGATGGCATGTATTGTTCCTTGATGGTGAGACAACTTGAAATCTAGTTGTTAGGACATTGGGACTTACGAGCATTTTACTAAATGTGTGACCATATCCGGTCACATGGTATTATAATTCACTGGAGCAGTCGTGGTGTTTTACAAAAACCTTTCATAAAAATAAGTCAGCAGAAACTATGTGGTCGGTTGGCCTGATGGTGACGGACTTGGGTAAACAGATTCACGCGGGTTGGCGAAGAGTCATTCGGGATTGTTTCACTAGCTCTGGTTTCATTGGTCAATGTTCCGACGCCTGTCATTGGTTAGATAGCTGTAGCACGTGTCTTGTGCAGTGGAGCAAGGACTGTAACCAGTTTGCAGGTCCTGAAAATAAAGATGCAAGTGTTAAATGGTGATTTTTTTGTGGTTGTGATACATCTCAGGTACACCCGTGCCTCGTTAGTAGTCGCATAAAGCCTGTCAGTGAATCAAAGAGGTTGATAAACGAAATATTATTGCAAAAACAGGGACCCACTTGATCACCTTGGTGGAAGACAGAACAAGTGTCTCATAATGCTTTACAACCACTTCTAACTTCTACGTTATACCAAATATATAAAAGAAGGCTTGTAAATATTTGATTATTATTGTGTGTGTGTGTGTGTGTGTGTGTGTGTGTGTGTGTGTGTGTGTGTGTGTGTGTGTGTGTGTGTGTGTGTGTGTGTGTGTGTGTGTGTGGCTGCTTGTACTCGCGTCCGGGCACATGCCGATTTATAGTGCTAGCTCACTGAGACATGCCGCAGTTTAACATGAATACCTTACTAAGACACAGTTCACCAGTACACTAATTCCGAGCAGACAAGTTCTTCTTTTAGCCCCTTAACGTCGAGCACCAGATAGGGTAACAACAAGTACCATCTGACGCGGCAGGGGCGGACGCTCTACCACTAGACGTGGGACCTGAAGAGCGAACGCTCTGATTAACAGGCGTCGTCGCCGCCCTGCAAACACATTAACACGTTTGCTTCCGTACCATTGGGACATTATTCTCAGGGAATATGTATTTTGACAGGTTAATTGTATACTAGTATATACACGACCGCCTCTATGGTCTAGTGGATAGAGCGTCTGCCAAGAGAGCGGAAGATTGGCGGTTCGATCCCCGGCCTCGTCATACCAATTGACGTCAAAAGATGGTACTTCTTGTTACCCTGCCTACGGCATTAAAGGACTAAAACAAGGACTGGTTGGCTCGTAGTCAGTATACTGTGTCTGAGTGGGGTGTTTATGTTAAGCTGCGGAATAAACTACAAAACCGGCATTTGTGCGGAATAGAACAAGCAGACACACACACGTGCATGCACGTCGCAATATATGTGTAATAATCAGGGACGTGATCTTATATGTGTGTGTCATTAATTGTTGGTGTTGGATTAAACCAACGTCATTTAGCCGACATGTTCATGTACTTTAACTGTTCATGATATTCGAAATTAATATCTTCAAGTCGGAAAATGAAGTATCTTTTGAATGTCCTCTCTGTGTTTGCGGGTGCGCTGGCCCTTATATCTGTACCTGCTGTTTCGGGGGGCAGACGATGTGAGGAGCTTTCACACCTGTTTGATCATAGCGATAAAACCTAATCATTTACTTCTAGCTGAATGTCACTGCAGTTGTAGCCCCTAAACCTAATAGCCTCAAGACAAGCACAGCGCAATTTACCGTTATAAGATTGTCACTGCTATTGGACTAGCTCAAACTGTATCTGTGTACGGCCTAGTTGGATTACCTCCCCCTTATGGCAATCAAATGACGCCCGCCATTAATCACTGCCTCTCTTGCAGAGTCTTCACGAAATGGATTGGGATGACTCGATTGCAGACTAAGTCGGGCAGAAAAAAATGAAATTCTACTTGAGAGCTAATATTGTTTAGGCCAGTGCTTAATGCTATAAAATACGTGTATTTGAATCTGATAATTAGTTTATCCGTCGGGATATTCATAGCTTCCATATTAGCCTGTATGTCTGGGAATACAAATGAACAGAAAATACTCGAATGATGTTTAAAAGTATATAAAATGCAATCCTCGCTACCCCTTATTGAATCGGCATGTCGAAAGGCTGGAATATGGCATACAGACACATATTGCCAGCAGTGAGAGAGATGAAGCAATCGCGATACAAATTATGTCCTAAAGCAATGATTTTCGTGGATTGTGGTTGCATTACAATATATGTCTTATAGCGAATAGCTTGGATTAAGGGAGATACCAACGTGATGACTGAGTAATGCGATGCATAATTGAGCGACGACCATTTCCAGCAATTGTGAGTGAATGAGTGTCGTCTTACGGCGCTTTCGGCAATAGTCAAGCAATATTGGTTTTACATATCACACTTTTATGATGAATCGAACCTGAGCAAAAGCTCAAACCATTAGAATACCCCCAACCCCTATAGAAGTGAAGTGGTACCTCGATAGAACCTGGGTACACGGGTGGCCCTGTCGTCTAAGGCGCCGCGATTCGCTGTGCAGACTTGCGTCCCTTGGGCACACCAGAAACCTATGATTGTGGGTTCGAATCCAGGTTCGCCCCGATTATGTTTCTAGGTTTGTCAGCACCATACCCGTGCTCATGGGTTTCACCGAAGTGGTGAACGTCAAAGACCTGCATCACTTCGGGCTTTCCTCCCACATTAAGCTGACACGCCGTGATATAACTGGAATACTGTTAAAAAGCGGCGCTCAACACAACTCACTCACTCACTCGAATGAACCTAGGGATCAGGTGAGTACCTAGCACTAACTCACATTTTATAGAAGACTCACACTTCTAACTGTAGACATGGGGCGGTGGGGGTAGCCTTGTGGCTAAAGCGATCACTCGTCACGCCGAAGACCCGGTTCGAATTCTCATATGGTTACAATGTGTGAAGCACATTTCTGGTGTCTCCTGCTGGCATATTGCTGGCATATTGCTAAAAGCAGCGCAATACAATACCCTCACTCACTCACTCACTCACTCATTCACTACAGTAGACAAAAACACTACGTAGTAGTAGTGAGTGATAGAGTGAGTGAGTGAGTTGGGGTTAAGACAGCTTTCAACGGTATTTCTGTTATATCACGGCGTGTTAGCTCTAAGGGTAACGAATCGGTTTACCATTTACTGTAACCTACAGTTCGGGTGTGGTGATGGAAAATCTGGGGAAATAATCTGGGAGAACGAACTGCGGCGCCGTAGACTGGGCCCACACACCATAGAGTAGACACGCCCACCTTTCAGTAGACACACATACTCCCTATGGTAGCCATACCCATAAAGTTGACAAACACACACCGTATAGCAGACACTCGTGCTTCCTACAGTAGACAATCTCTGAAATAAACACACACCCTATAGCAGACATACCTACCCTAAAGTGGACACCCAGCCTATAACAAGATATCAGTTTATAGGAGACTTACCCACCATTTAATAGATAAACACAGCCTACAGTAGGCACATACACTCTCCAATAGAAACACACAACTTATATTCGACACACAAACGCTACAGTTGACACACACGCACCCTATAGTAGACACACACGCACCCTAAAGTAGACACACACGCACCCTAAAGTAGACACGCACGCACACTTAAGTAGACACGCACGCACCCTACAGTAGATTCAAGCAGCCTACAGTAGACACACACCAACCCTATAGTAGACACACGCACCCTACAGTAGACACAAACACCCTATAGTAGACACACGCACCCTACAGCAGACACACACGCACCCTATAGTAGTCACAATCAGCCTACAGCAGACAAACACCAACCCTATAGTAGACACACGCACCCTATAGTAGACACAAACACCCTATAGTAGACACACGCACCCTACAGTAGACACAAACACCCTATAGTAGACACACGCACCCTACAGCAGACACACACGCACCCTATAGTAGTCACAATCAGCCTACAGCAGACACACACCAACCCTATAGTAGAAACACGCACCCTATAGTAGACACAAACACCCTATAGTAGACACACACGCACCCTATAGTAGTCACAATCAGCCTACAGCAGACACACACGCACCCTATAGTAGTCACAATCAGCCTACAGCAGACACACACACACCCTATAGTAGACACACGCACCCTATAGTAGACACACACACCCTAAAGTAGACACACGCACCCTATAGTAGACACACGCACCCTATAGTAGACACACACGTACCCTATAGTAGTCACAATCAGCCTACAGCAGACACACACACACCCTATAGTGGAAACACGCACCCTATAGTAGACACACACACCCTAAAGTAGACACACGCACCCTATAGTAGACACACGCACCCTATAGTAGACACACGCACCCTATAGTAGACACACACACCCTATAGTAGACACACGCACCCTATAGTTGTCACACGCACCCTTTAGTAGACACACGCACCCTATAGTAGACACACGAACCCTATAGTAGACACACGCACCCTATAGTAGACACACGCACCCTATAGTAGACACACGAACCCTACAGTAGACACACGAACCCTAAAGTAGACACACGCACCCTATAGTAGACACACGCACCCTATAATAGGCACACACACCCTATAGTAGACACACGCACCATATAGTAGACACACACTCCCTATAGTAGACACACGCACCCTAAAGTAGACACACGCACCCTATAATAGACACACGCACCCTATAGTAGACACACGCACCCTATAGTAGACACACGCACCCTATAGCAGACACACGAACCCTATAGTAGACACAGGCACCCTATAGTAGACACACACACCCTATAGCAGACACACGCACCCTATAGTAGACACACGCACCCTATAGCAGACACACGCACCCTATAGTAGACACACACACCCTATAGTAGACACACACGCACCCTAAAGTAGACACGCGCACCCTAAAGTAGACACACGCACCCTATAGTAGACACACGCAAACTATAGTAGACACACGCATCCTTTAATAGACACGCGAACCCTATAGTAGACACATGCAAACTATAGTAGACACACACGCACCCTATAGTAGACACACGCAACCTACAGCAGACACACACGCACCCTATAGTAGACACACGCACCCTATAGTAGACACACACACCCTACAGTAGACACACGCACCCTATAGTAGACACACGCACCCTAAAGTAGACACACGCACCCTATAATAGACACACGCAAACTATAGTAGACACACGCACCCTTTAGTAGACAAGCGAACCCTATAGTAGACACACACGCACCCTATAGTAGACGCGCACGCACCCTATAGTAGACGCGCATGCACCCTATAGTAGACTCAAGCCGCCTACAGTAGACACCCAACCACCCCATA